AACCAATCCGAGCTAACTGTGGTGTACAACCCTGAGCACATGGCGCACACCTTTAGTTCCAACGCTTAGGAGGCAGAGGCTGGTGGGTCTCTGTGAGTTTGAGGCCGGCCCTGCCACAGAACACAGCCTCCCTATCTAGCGGACCGGAAGACCCCACTGCCCAAGATCTTGACATAAAGATAAATTTGAACTGTTTATTTTGGGAAACAGAATGGAAGTGATCTTCTGTGGGCCCTGTCATTTGTCTTCTCTCCAGAGCCCTCAGCTTTAAACTATCTGCAGCTGGCAAAGAGCCCCTCTCAGAGCCCGCACGAGGCAAACAGCCTGCTGCTGTGGACCATCCGAGTCAGCCCCACATCCCACACCTGGGACCAGAACAGAAACATACTTACATCCACAACACTAACGTGTAAGTTCTCTTGCCCGAGGACAGATCATCTCCTGGAATGCTAGGACTGTTCATGCACGATAAACAAGCCATGTGTTTTCCCTTCTGTACAGAAGGCTGATTGCCCCACTGCTCAGGATGAGCTTGATCTCACACAGGTGGGATACGCAGGCAGGAAGTAGGTCGGAATATATGCCTGCTTAGACTGGGTGAAGGCAGAAAGTACACAGCCTTGTGGGGTTTGCCTCCGGGTAATGTGATTTGGTGCCATACTCTGGGAATCCCGGGTACAGACCTGGCACCAATGTCCGTCGTACTGGTCAGTATTTAATAAGGCTTGCTTCAAATTTGGCTCAAAAATTGTGATAGTGGACTTATTCTCGTCTGGTGGGCCTAATAGTGCAAGCTTGTAAATCCAGTGCGTGTGTGGGGATGCCTGCGGCTCTCTGGCCAGCCAGCCTAGCCTGACCTGTGAGCTCCAGGTGCAGCGGGAGAGCCTGTCTCAAAAAGGAAGGAGGTGAGCTGGGGAGATGGCTTAGAGGGTAACGTGCTTGTCATGCAAACCCGCCAACCTGACTTTGGACCGTAGGACCCATGTAAACATTGGACAGGGTATTCCAGGACACAGGAGAGAGAGGCAGGGGAGTCTCCAGATCCAGTGGGCCAGCAAGTCTGGCTCACCCAGTGGCGAAGAGACCCTGACCCAGAGCAGGAGAAGGCAAAGACTGACGCCCAAGGAATGTCCTGTGACATTCACATGCATGCCCATACCAACACCCACGTGGACACACCAACACACGCATTCACATATCACACACCAGTATGTTTTTTATTTGTTTGTTTGTTTTTGGAAACAGGGTTTCTCTGTGTAGCCTTCCCTGTCTTGAAACTCACTCTGTAGACCAGACTGGCCTTGAACTCAGAGATCCGCCTGCCTCTGCCTCCTGAGGGCTGGGATTAAAGGTATGTGTCCTCGCTCCTGGTTTACCAACAACATTTTAAAAGGTAGAGAACAATCAAGGGAGACACCTGATATTAGCTGACCTCCGGCCTATGCTCAAGTGCATCCACACACACACAAATTCCAATCTCAGGGTGAGTTTGAGCTTGCTTACTCTAGATAGCTATGTGGAAAGGCAGGCTGGTAGAGGACAGCCCTCCTGGTTGGCTGGTTTTACCTTACCCTGAGTGGAATTTTATAATCAAAATAGTAGGTAGTGTATACAGACAAAACAAAAATTCTCCCTTCTCTGATTTCCCTTCTTCTTTGGAAAAAAAGAGAAAGTTTTGCCTCTCCATTCTGAATTATTTTGAGTTTCTGCTCACCTCTCTTGAACTGGCTGCTTTCTGTTCGTGGTCTGGAGCAGAATGAACTCTTACTTTCATGTCTCACAACATAAGTGTGACACACCATTTAAATTATTTTATGCGTATGAGTGTTTTGCCTGTATGTGTGTGTGCCACTATGTACCCGGTGCCCTCACCGGCCAGAAAATGGTGCCGGGTCCCCTGGAATTGGAGTTACAGACTGTTGTGAGCCAGCATATGGCTGCTGAAACCCAAACCTTGGTCCTCTGCAAAAGTAACAAGTGCTCTGAAGTGCTGAGCCAGCTAACCAGTCCCAAGAGTGACACACCTTCAAGCACATTTTCTTGTTGTGTTAAGTCCGAAAGCTCTGCACGGACACCACCACTCATTTATGCAATTGGCAAGAATGTTTTTTATTTCAAGAAAGCAAGAAGCCTGCATGCAGGAGTCAGCCACTTATTTAAAAAAAAAAAAAAAAAAAAAAAGTGGTGACCCAGACAAAGGCTCTCAGACCTTTTTGTAGGAAACTAGGGGAAGTAATCTAAAACCTCCTTGATGGGTGCTAGGGAAGTTACAAGGGTCAATTTCTGACTGGCTGTGTCCAGGTGGTCAGTGGACTGCATTCCTGTGCCACGAGTGTTTACAAGCTAAGATAAGGCTGCTTGGGACGGATGCCTCATCCGGAGATAAGGAATCTTCCTATTCTTGTGGTAATCTCCAGGCTGTTGCTTGGATAGGGGATTTTATGGTCTTGTTTCTGGAGTTGGTGACTAATGGCCTAGTTTCTTTTCTTTCCTTTTTATTTTTATTTTTTTAAGTCAGGCCTGGTCCTAAAATGGAGACAAAATGGAGTTTATGTTGTCCTCTCAGAGGAAAGACCAAATCCACGATTGTCCAATTAAAGCAGGCTGTATTTTGGGGTACACCCAGGACTGGCCACCAACTGTCTCACCCTAAGTCAGGATTTGTGGGAGCAGCTCCTGCTGGCCTCTTGAAGTTTCTTTTTATAGGAGAGATAAGGTGTTCGATGGGGGAATCAGCTGTTACCTGTTAGAAAGGTAAAGTGGAACAGGGCAGGGATTACACCATGTAAATGGGGTCACAGGCAGTTTTTACAAATCAGATCTAAGAGCAGAAACGTCCTCTTAGTTACAAATAGGAGCCTTAACTTGCAAGGGCTTAACATAAGGACAACCGGGAACTTTTTAACCGTCTTAACGGAAAACAGAACCCTTAACCCGAAAGCTATATTTTTCCTGCTTTGATCTCCCATTAACTTGCAAGGTATATTCCTATTTTGCTCTCACACCACCAAGTAGGCCTATGCTGGCCAGTGTACCGGGAGAGCTGCCTGTCTCTGACTCCCTTTTGCTAGAATTATAAGCACGTGCCCCCATGCCCTGCTTGTTGGCTTTAAATTTACTCTATTATGATTGGGGCTGTGACGCTCATGGCAGAGGACAGCTTTACATGGATCCTGGGGATCAAATTCAGGCCACCAGGGCTGAACAGCAAGTACTGAGCCATCTTGCCAGCACCCGGCACTCCCCCCCTTCTTTTTTTTTCCTCTTGTGACTTTTGAGGATTGAGCTAACTCGGTCTTCGCCCTTGCAGAACAAACACTTTACAACCTTGCATTACCCCAGCTCCAAGTGCAGTCACCGGAGGCGAGAGAGCACTTCCAAAAGTGCTCACACCGAGACAGGCAGAAAGACAACATGAGAGTTCCGGGAAGGGATGGGTTTCCCCGTTCTGCTGCCAGGAGCTGAGGATTTGAACCTAGCAGCTGTCTTACAAGGCCCAGCCTCTCAGGCGCCTGCTCGCACTCTCTCATCCTGGGGAGGGCGGAGGGCCACTGAGGCACACATTGGTGCGTGCCGTGACCAAGGGCTTTAGGGCAGAAACAGACGCTGTGAGATGTGAGCGATGAGCCCTTCAAACCTCAGAACCTGCCCTCCAAGTGACAGCTTTGGCATCTCAAGTGCTTGTACTGGTTGGCAAGATTGTTTAATCAACAACCCACAATACTCCTGTTTTCTGAAAATCTGATTTTATCACTCTGTGTCATATCTGTTTTACCCAAAAGTTACATTTCGTGTGTGTCTGTGTGTGTGTGTGTGTGTGTATGTGTGTGTGTGCTATGCTGTGTATGTATGTGCTGTGTGTATGTTTGTTTGTGTGAGAGAGAAAGAAAGAGAGAGAGAGATTGAAGACACTCCTATATTGGTTAGCACCTCCCACCTTGTCTGTGACAGGCCACTGGTTCTCCGCTGTGCATTCCAGGCTGACTGGCCTGTGAGGTTCTGGGCTTCTGTCTCCACCTCCCATCTTGCCACAGAGTCCCTGGGTTTGCAGACAGGTCTACCATGACTGGCTTTGCACAGGTACTGGGAATCCCAAAAACAGGTCCTCACAGTTGTGTGGAAAGTGTTTTGCTCACTGAGCCATCTCCCTAGCCCTCCTGCCTCTTTTCTCTCTTTCGTTAAAATCAAACAGAATGAATGGTTTTTGGGAGTGTTCTGTGCAGAGGCTGAGAATACAACCTCTGGGCCAGACTGATTTGGACCCCTCATCAGCAGTCAGGGACACAGAGGCTGTTTCCTCCATTGTTTACAGATCCTGTGGGGGCAGGTTCCATAAGCACCTTTAAATATGTGTATACACATATGTGTCTACACACATTATATGTAATATGCTTATGTTATGCGTGTGCGCCTGAGAGTATGTCTGCCTGAGAGTATGTCTGCTTGAGAGCGTGCAGGATGGCATGGAGGTCATAAGAGGGCAGCAGATCCCCTGGAGCTGGAGTTACGGACGGTTGTGAGCCACTATATGGCTGCTGGAAGCTGAACCTGGGTCCTCTGCTAGCGTGTGCTCTCAACCCCTGAGCCTTCTCCCCGACCCTCTATAGGGCACTTTTTTGTGACTCCTTCGATGGTCCCTGGATGACAGCAAGTCTCGGGTGTGCTGTTTGCTGGTGAGGTTCCCATCACAACTTCAGGGGAGCTGAGGAAGTTGATGAGCGATGGTTTCTGTGTGTGTGGTCCCTCCTGTGAGCACCAAGTGTGGTGGATGCCTCCGCTTCTCCCATGGATGAGGCTGGGAGGAGTGGCCAGATAAAACCTAGGCTGTTTATGACGAACAATGTTCTCATACACTTCTTTAGAATACAGCTTCACAGACTTGAAGGAAAAAAAAAAAAAAAAAAAAAAACCTTGTTTGAACAGGAGTTTCTCTTCCTTCAATTCATGCCAGCTCCACCCTTCCTTAAGTGCAGTGCTACAGGGCAGCGCTCCCTGGTCTCATACCTGGCTGAGGAAGCTATGTGTCTGCTGCACGAAGAGACTTGCTCTTATCATACATGCTTTTAGAGACCAGCCAGCCACCATGAAGATCTGCTGTGGCCCGTTGCATCCCCGGTATCAAATTGTGCTGTTTCTGACTGTGTTGACCATGCTCTTCCTTCTGTCCTCTTTTATTAAGGAGCCAAGCACAAAACCCTCCAGGTAAGAAGATGCCAAGTCTGTCACTCGAAGAGTGGAGGCCCCGGGAGCTCCGAGCCACCTCTGAGTTCCCATGGGATGCTCAGGCCAGGAGTCCTACAGAGTATCCCCACCCCCAGAAGGAAGGCCAGTGGCAGAACTCTGCAGATGTGATTCAAGGTGCCTGGGTTACTAGGAGTCTTGTGAGGAAAGGCAGGCAGGAGCTGGGAATTCGTGGCCTGAGTCTGCAGAGGGCGGACACAGCACAGTTAGCCCCACGGGCTGGTGCTGACAGGGCAGCTGCAGTGGCTTGCTCTGACATGTATTCTCACTGACCCAAAGCAAAGACTTAGCCTGTGTGTTTCCTGCACCTCAGAGACATTCTCGACCTGAACGGGGAGAACTGGGAAATCTGCACCCCAAGTGAGTCCTCCCAGAATACTTAGCACATTTCCAGCAGTGAGACCCTCTCTCCAGACTGATGAAAAAGCTTTTTGTTTTTGTTTGTTTCACACTACTCTTAGTATTTGAAAACAATACACACACTCATTCTCTCAGAGAGATGGGGAAAAGGACAGAGAAGTGACTACTTGGGCATGCACAGCATTCACACTGGCACAGCAGCTGGCCCTTCTGCAGTGTCTCTATGCGTCAGGCTCCATTCTGATGCTTCAGGTCAGTTTCTCACTGCTCAGCATGAGGAAGACAGATGGCTAAACTGAGTGACTCAATGCACTGTCACAGGACTGGGGTTCAAACCCAGGCATTTCCATCCCGAAACCAGAGCTGGGTGCCTGTAGGTTATGTAGATGAGGAGGACTTTGAATTTCTGATCCTCCTGCCTCTACCTCCCAAGTGCTGGGGTTACAAGTATGGTCCACATGTTGGCTTAGGAACACATTTTAGCTGTCTGCCTTTCCTTTGTGGTCATTAGATTGTGTCTTGGGGGAAAGAAAAGTTGGTTCAACATTCCCCCCAAATATGCAAAACATCTTCTGCATGTCGCCATCTTCTTGTTCACTAAGCTTCAAGAGTTCATTTAGAAGGTATTTATTTTTGCTTGTGGTGTTGGTAGGATCTGAAAATCCAAAACAGCCCAAGTAGCCACAGGAGTCCAGCAAAGCAAGATCTTTATTAGAATTAGGCAGTGAAATCTGAGCAGTCAGGGACAACACAGACTCACGAGCTGACTGCATCTTCAGACACTCATCTTGTAAGTATTTAAGCAGATGATAAAAATCCATTGTGCTCAGGCCGCTACTGATGTTCAGGGCTGCAGAACAGGCTCTAGAGCTGAACTGTGACCCGTAAGCTAGAATTTTAGAGTTTTTAAGCTCCAATTTCATAAACATCTGTACCAAGTTATCCCACCAATCATGATTTAGGGATAGGAGGCTTCCTTAGAAGCACGTCTTTGTGGTACACTTATCCTGTTTCCATTGGTTGGGTTATTCAGCTGTGTGTGGTGGTGGGGTGGGGTGAGACTTGCATGTCTCTTTCTGCCAACCAGGATGTCAGCTACTTAAACTTCATTTGACTCCTATTCAAAATTGTGTTTGGTTCAAAATGGCTTCAGTTTGGTTCCTTCTTATGTTCCCCACTTGTCTTTGTACATTTTTCAAATCCTTGATTATCTGTTTCCGAGGAAAGGGTATTGTACTGGGTTCTTAGGACCATGAGCTCAACGGGGTTAACTCTTGATTGAAGACATTTAACTAAAGCATTGGGAATGCAAGGCCCTACAAGGAGCAGGAGGCAAAGGAGGGCCAGTGGCGCCGCTAAAGCCGTGAGCAAGATGGTTCGCAGCGGACCAAGCGAAGAGATTCTGGCCTGCCTCCTTCCTTCCTTTCTATCTAATAGGGTTTGTTTTTATTTTTGCTAAGATGTCTCAGACTGTCTCAGAAGCATAAAAACAAGTTTTATCCAAAGGGAATTTACTTTTGACTTAGCATTTCAGCCTGTCAAGGGGGCAGGGATGACGTATTCCTCTAACTACTTCTAAATAAAACTGGGACATTGGCTGTCAGGGGTCCCAGGAAGCTGAAAACATTAGCCACAGGCTGGGCGATGGGGCTTTTTTTTTTTTTTCCAGAAGCATCTGATCGGCTGAACCAGCTGAAGGGATAGAGATCAATCACATCTGCTGAACTGGTCTCTGTCAGCTTTCAGCAGGTTGCAGTCCACAGTGTTCCCTGAGTGATGTTTGCCAGCCAAGTGCTACTGAGACAAATGTAGACTAGGGACAGAAGTTTAAATTTCTTGGTAACTGGAGAAAAGGGATGAATCCCAAAAACAGGGGGAAAGTCTATTTTCAGTTGTGCTTATCTGATCTATAATATTTGATCTGTGACAGGTGGATCCAAGTCTTATGACCTCTTTGATGCCCTAAAGCTTAAATAAACTTTTAGTTTACACAGGAGCTATATAATTAAGCATTACCATTGTATTGAAATTCATATTGTAGAAAAGGAGTTAACAGGTGTCTGTAAAGCAACAGGAATAAATTCATGCCTTCCAGTCCCAAACAAAAGCTATAAAAAGGCATAATTTTTTTTTTCAGAGAGCAAGGTATATAGATTGGACAGAGATGAAAAGCCTGATGAAATGCATCTTCAAGTCACATTTAGAAGACAACCAAAGAAAACCCAACATCCTGGGCTTGTGACTAATAATTAGCTGTCAGTTTTTCATCAGATCTTGAACTCCCAAAATCTCAGGGAAATAACAGCACAGAAGGGGAAAGAACTCTGAAATATTCCTATTCCTATAGATTTTAACTTATTTTTTAGATTCTTAGAACTTAGTTAGGTTTTTATATCCTTAGACCTTGCATGGACTTTGAACCATTTTTTAAAATTGGTTATCAGAGGCATAAGTGGTTATTAATGAGAATGGTCCTCATAAAGTATGTTCTTTTAGTAAAGTTACATCTGAAACCAGCTTATCCTTTAACATGAAGCCTGTGAGAAAGGTAAACCTGTTTGCCTTTTCTTAACAAGAGACCCAGTAGCATTAATTAATTAATAAACTAATTAATGAGATAATAAGGCCTGCCGTTGCCTAACTGATAGAGCTATAGTTAGCTTAGCTGTCAATGTGATCAGAGACCTGAGAAGGATAAATTATAATCTAAATGGCCTATGTGTCAATGAAAACAAATATGACAGAGACCAGTCTTAAGGATAAGTCTGGTACACTTATCCTGGTTATGTAACTGTGGTGGGGTGACTGGCCTGGGCTTCATGTCTCACCTTGCCAAGCAGGATGTTACCTAGGGAAGTCTTGGGAACTTAACCCTTATTTAACTCCTACTCTAAATGGGGTTCCTTCTTAAAGTATGAAGATGTGTCTGTGGCTGTTGGGACTCTTTGTTTGAGACAAAGTCTGTCTGTGTAACCCTGGCTGTCCTGGAACTTGCTATGTAGATCAGGCTAGCCTCAGACTCACAGAGAACTGCCTGCCTCTGCTTCCAAAGAACCAGGAGTAGAGCTTAGAGTCTCATACAGCTATTTTTTAGCCCTTTGTGATTGATTAATTAATTGATTTATTTATTATGTCATTTGATTGATCAGTTCTCAAGTATGCATCCTGTAGACACAATGGCTGTCACAGTGTGAGAGTCATCCCCAGAACATGAGGAGGAGGGAGGGCTCCAGGGCTGCTGGAGGAGCTCTGTAGGCGGGGCCTGCTGGAGAATGGCTCCAGGCCACCATACCCAGCCCAAGCCACATGCTCCTGAGAGTGGTGACTAGCCTGGTGCCCATTGCTGGTCTAGAGACTCATGCCAACGGCCGCTCATTGTGTAGCACACTGGGAAGACAGGGCCACTCTGTCCTGTCCCAGGTCTTCATGGCCCAGGCAGCTGTGGAACAGGAATTTCCCACCTCCCTCATCAGGGTCAAGCAGAGGAACACACAGTCCCAGGAAAGTGACTGTGGACACTGATGTTGCCAGAAGCAGTGGGAGGCAGGAACTTGAGGAGGATTCCCTGAGGGTTTCCTCACCGAAGAGGCTGAGGGGCAGAAGAAGGGCAGCAGCAAAAATCAGTAAAATAGGGACTGTCTCTGACATGAACTCAGTGGCTGGCTCTTTGACCTCCTCCCCCCAACCCCTGCCAAGGGAGGTGCAGCCTGGCTAGGCCACAGAGGAGGACATGGCAACCAGTCCTGAAGAGACCTGATAAGCTAAGGCCAGATGGAAGGGGAGGAGGACCTCCCTATCAGTGGACTTAGAGAGGGTCAGGGAGGAGATGAGGGAGGGAGGGTGGAATTGGGAGGGAATGAGGGAGGGGACTACAGCTGGGATACAAAGTAAACAAACTGTAAGCACCGGGGAGGTTCAAGGCCAGCTGCCACCACATTGTAGCCTGTCTCAAAAAACCGAGTAAGGGCCCGGGGAGAAGGCTCGGTCATGCCTTGCATGCGTGAGGAGCTGAGTGTGATTCCCAGGCTGTGAGACCCAGGTGCGGTGGTAAGAGCTCACCATCCCAGTGCTGGGGAGGCGGAGGCAGGGGGATGCCTGCAGGCCAACGGCCAGCCAAGCCCACTTAGGAAGCTGTAAGCCAATGAGAGACCCTGTCTCAAAAAGCAAAGAAGAAGGTTTCTAAGCAAGATGCCAGAGGCTGACCTCTGGTCTCCACGCATGCACCTACCTGACACACACACAAATAGTTTAACAAATCGTAAAACGATGAAAGAGAGCTGCGAAGGGTTTACGTTGCTTTAGGAGGTCACCGGGAAGGTGGCGATGCCCTCTTTGATGACACATCACTCAGAACTGTGTGCGACTTTGACCTTTACAACAGTGCAAGACTGATGTTTGCACACCTTTTCCAATGAAGATGAATGTGATATCTGTAAAGGTCAAAGCTGGTCCTGCCCAACCTGGACGCAGCTAGACAAACGGGATTTGGGCCTCGGGTGCCGTTCTTAGTCTCCCTCCTTCGGTGAGCGCTCAAGAGCTATAGAGTCTAACAGAAGAGAGCTAAAAAAAATGGGAAATATTCGTGTATTTATTAGTAATTT